ACAAAAAATATCAAAAACAAAAAAAATTAAAATAAAAAACAAAAAAGTAAAACAAGAAAAGCCAGCCAAACAGCACACACCATCTAAAGCGCTGCGCGTCATCAGCTAAGTGCTCACTTCGGTATAGCTGGCTAGTAAGCTTACTCTCAAATCTTCCCACTGCCATCTCGGCCGTCTGCGTTGTTTTGGCGTTTTGTTATTATTATTGTGTTTTGCTGATGTAGTTTAATGTCGTCGCCACGCCGTATAACGCTGCTCGCTGCTCGCTGCCGCCGTGTCATCGTTGTCATCTGCAATTGCTTTAGATGCCCTTGACTTTGGCTTTATTGATGTCGTTATGTTTCTTTTTTACTGCAAATAGTACGAAAAAATATGTCAAAGTGTAGCGCGCGCATAAACATTGCGAAAGCAGAATATAAAAAACGAAAAAGACCATCAATGAATTAGAAGAAAATCGCATGTTGGCTCCGAAAGGCGCGTTTCTAGCGCACACTTGCACAAACAAAAACACACTAACAACAAGCATGAAAGCTCTTAAATGCAACTTGTGCAAACTTTAGCGTCAAAGTCATAAACTCTATGAGCAAAACAAATAAAATAAATAATAATAAAAAAAAAGAAAAACTGTTAACTATGGCTGCACTGAAGCTATATACCCTGCTCGGATCGGTGAAATTTTTTCAGAGTTTATACCGCAAACTCGGAGAATAATCTATGTCAAATTTCCTGACGATTTCCCGTCAAATAATATATGTTTTTATAAAAGAACTTGATTTGGAACCAACAGTTTGTATGGCAGCTATATGCTATAATGGTCCGAACTGAACAATTTATTCGGCGATGTTAGCGCTGTCTTTCAAAGTTATCTACATGAAATTTCTTGAAGATATTTCCTCAAATAAAAAAGTGTTCCTAAGAAGAATTTGATTCGGTACGGTTCGTTTGTATGTCAGCTGTAGGCTAAAGTGCTCCGATATCAGCGATTTCGACAAATGAACAGCTCCTTGATGAGAAAATAACTTGAACAAAATTTCTAATCGATATCTTAAAAACTGAAGGGCTAGGTCGCGCATTTGCAAACAGAAGACAAACAGATAAGCATGGCTTAATCGACTTAGCTCAACATACTGATCATTTATATATGTATATATTATACAAATATATTTTAATAATATTCTCTAAAGTTCACTTCTGTTTAATATATCCTATTCAGGGTATAAAACTCGTAAAAAAATAAAAAATAAAATAAAAAAGCGCCGATAATCAAAGCAAGTGAAGTTCATAAAGACTTCCATTCGCAAAACAGCATACTAGAACTGGCGTCTCAAATAGAAATAAATTCGAGCCATCCTACGCCAAATTTTATTGGCACAACAACAAATTTGGAGAACCACTGCGGCAAACCTGTTTAAACTTCTGTCTTGAGGCCGACAGCAGTGCGACTTAATGCTTTATTTAATTCATTTCTAACGCTTGACTTCAACTATTTGCAATCAGCACTTTTATATTTGCTATTTTTTATTTCTACAATTTTTGTTTGTATGCCAATCATAAGCAGGCGCGGCGCGTAGGCTTGGAAATTGTTTGCACAAGTGTAGGCATTTGAATGTCACGCATACGCCCTGACGGCAAGTCGTACGCACACAAACACTGCAATGTTGTAGTGTGCACTAAAGTGCGAGCACGGCGCCTCACATTTTACAGCTGTACTTGATTACAGAGTTAACTGCAGGCAATTTACTTTACCGCCGATAATTTTATCAATGGTTTTCCGTTTCTCATCTCACTTTCGCTTTTGACACTGACACTCACTTGTTATGAGCGTATCGGGATCCGCTAATTCAGCATCATCGCCATCGTGTTGTTGTTGTGTCAGCTTTGAGTGCTGCTTGAGTTGCACCTTCTTGCGCAGTTTCTTCAGATAGGCTTGCTTATACTCCTCGCTGGGTTTGCCACCTAAACCATAGCTGACTTCGAGCACTGTTAGCGGAATGACAGTCGAGGAAACGGGTACAAGATCTGCTTGGAAACGAATGTTGAGTTGAGGTTATAGGGCGACAGTGGATATTAGTTGGTGATTTGTGTTTTCAGAGTGAAATCGAATCTGTGGCCTAAAAATACTTAAGTTCGAGAGCTTTTAAATCGAAGAAAATCTGAAGGATAAAAATAAAAACTTTCCGCCAGCCAAAGATCCAGGCAATTAACTTCATGCGGTATGGTAATTACTTTCAGACAGTTGCTTGGTGTAGATCTGTCTTCCAAAATTCTCAAACATAAGATCAGCAGTCTAACACATCACCTTACTCTAAACGTATTCCTTTGTTCGCTAAGATCTAATAGAAATACAATCAGAAGTATTGAAAATCCGACTCACGTATGGATTGCTGATAGATTTTTTTAAAGAATCTTGTTTCAAACCTTCTAATTGATTATATTATATATTATATCGTATAATTTGAGATTCCAGAGTCACCCAGATTCAAGGAAAGAGCTGAAACAATTGGATTTTGTTATGCATCAGTAAGTCAAAGATTACTTTTTATATTATGTCGAGTATAGTCGATACTGACTCCGTGTGTTGCTAACAAACAATGAAATCCACTGTCAAGGATATACGGACGACATTGTTGTCATAGTCAGAGGAAAATTTGAGGACACTCTCTGCGATATCGTACAAAGGGGACTAAGCCAAGAAAAGGGATGGTGCAGGAATGCTGAACTAAACATCAATCCCTTAAAGACGACCATCGTCCCGTTTACGAGACGCAGGTCTCTGACTGGCCTCAAGGACCTAACACCCGGGGGCAGAGAAGTAGAGATGACTAATATGATCAAATATCTTGATCTCACACTGGATTTCGCTCTGCGGTGAAAGCAGCAGGTTTATCTGTCCATGAAATCTTGGGGTTGCAAGCTAAGGATTGTCGATGGTTGTACACCATGAATTATCACTTATGGAGCTGTGGCTTCGGCTTCCAAGACATCGCAAAAGTCTGTAGGACTTCAAATATCGAAGCTGCAACGACTCGCCTGCGACGTCGGCACTTGAAGTCTTGCTGGAATTCACTCCGCTATACCCAGTGAGTGATTAAGTTGCTAAAAACACTCTACTGCAAAAGGCAGCAGAAGGGTTTGGCAGAGTTAAGGTAATCTCTTCCCAACGTATGAATGAGCTAAGTGGTGTCACACCACTGAACCTTCTCTCTAGGCATACTATTTATATATATAGTATAGCTATACTAAGCGATAGCCAAGCGGCACTCAAAGCTATTTCTGCATACGAGATCAAATCGCTATCGGTGCAGGAGTGTATAGAACGACTGAATAGTCTCTCAGACCGTAACCAAGTTCACCTTATTTGGGCGAAAAGCCACAAAGGTATAGCCACGAAAGACCTTGGCAACAACTCCTAGGCATGCGCCATGCCAAGTTGCTAATGGGTGCTTACAACCTCAAACGGTTTAAATATGTAATCAACCTTCCAAGGAAAAACTCTGGCTACTTGTCGCCTTCTACACTGGCAACTGTAAACTCCAGAAGCACTTATTCAATACGGACCTAGCTTCTTGAGCGAATTCCCGGTTCTGCAACTTGGAGTCTGAAACACCAGAACACCTCCTAATCGCACCAGTCTGTAGGCGCAGAATTAAAGCTCTTGGTTCTATGTTTCCAAATTGGGATCATACCGCCTCAATAGCACTTAGCAGTATATTGGAACTTGTGACTTAGGAGAGGGCACAATAGATACTAGGTCGCGGTGTAATCCTCACTTATTTATCTAATCTAATCTACAGGCATTATATGACTGAACAAATTTGACTTAGACATGGTACATTTATAATGCGAATAGCGCTCCAAAAATGAGCCGAATGAGCCCAGCCATGTATGGAAAATTCCAATTTTCAATTGGCTCAGAACCTTATTTTTAAGACGATAAAAATGTCTAATAAAATACGTGAAAATGTAACTTTTTTTTATTAGTCCGGGTCAAATTTGATCAGAAGAATATAATAAGCCTAAACTTGTAGATATTGCAAAAGCTGGTACCAACTCGTGTTTGTCAGTCCGGGTCAAATTTGAACAGATGAATTAGTTTTTGATCTCGAAGAAACATCAACGATTCGCAGAGACAACATTAAGGTGACTACAAAAATTTAGAATCGGTTCTAGGTTAACTGTCGAACTTCGAAGTTCATTTAAAATACAACAATCAAATTTGTCATGCTCCTTAATGATCAATATATTTTCAATAACATTACTATTTTTTTGTTTCATAAAATTTTTATACAACTCACTTTCCCTACATTTGAAAAAAAGGCCAAAGAGCCAACTCATGAAGAAAAAATAAATTTTATAGATATAGATACCAATATTTCCTGTTCCTTTATTTAAACAAATTCGATATTGGCTTATCAACTTCAGCTAAACTCATTTCACCCGCATTTTCAAAACTAACTCGAATTAGCAAACCAAATTTGGCGGCTAAAACTAACACCACAAATCACTAGTTGAAACCTTGAAACAGATTCGAAATCACTCAATTAAAACACCGAAAGGTAAAGCGCATTAACACATCACCTGCTTCGTATTTGTCTTGTGGATTCTTCTTGTACAGCATCGGTGTGCCTTGTGCGCAATTGCAGCATTGCAATAGCAACAACAACGCAACAGCTAACCAAACAAAAGGTAATTTGTAGTTGAAACTAATCGTTTTGGTTGTCATTATGAAGGTTTCCTGCTTGTTTGTATTATTTGTTGAGTATTTATTGGTTTATTTATATGTTTGCCAGTTGCCTTCAATTGAATGGCTTTGGTGATTGTCGCTCTCTTGTTATAAACGCAAGCAATTAATGTTTTGATTTTGTTTTGATTTTATTTTGATTTGGTTCAAGTTTGTGTACAACTAAAATGCAATAAATAAAGCACACACAATACGCTCGATATATATATACATATATTTGTATGAGTGCGTGTATAGAAATGAAAATGAAAATACTTTCGAAACCAATTTTTAGCTGGTCCGTCCAACTGGTTTAAACGCTCGAGCACAACTGAATCGCTGACGGCGCGCCACTTGGACAACTTGTAGCGGCGGCGCTATCGTTTTCATGCGCTTGCAAATTTGAGACGCCGCGGTTTGGCGGTTCACTTCGCCAGACTCAACTCGCGTTGGCTTGTTTTGTTGGCCATTACGGCATTGCGGCACTTTACTACAGACATGCAAGCATGCTCGTATCTAGACACATAATTGTAAATAGAAGCAATAAGTGCTTGCGCTCGTAATGTCTAAGCAAATAGTTGCTGCTGCTGTTGCTGCCGCCGCAAGTAAAAGTGAGAGGCGTCTGACAGACAGCGCGTTACGATTTTCATTAATGTCAGTTAAGTCAGTTATGTATGTAAGGTATTTATGGTTATTGTTTTTGCTTTGAGAATTTTAAATTCATTTTAGCTCTTTATTTGCTTTGTTACATAATTAGTTTCGGACTTGTTTGAGTTGTCAGTGACACTGTAATTAGCAAACCTGTAGGAAATCTGTATTTATAAAAAAAAAAAAAATAATAACTGTAAACTTAATTTTGTGTGCAGTTAAACTTCGATCGAGGCTAGAATAAACTTCTCACATGCGATGTTTCTAACATAAAAGAGGAGAAATGCATCTTGATTTGGATCGGATAATTTGTCAACAGATATATGCTGCAATAGCACGATCTAAACATTATGTTCCGAGATTTTGGCGGAAAATAATCTAAGTCACATTTCGTAAAGATATCTTTCAAATAAAAAAGTTTCTCATATAAGAACTTGATTTTGATTGGTCAGCTTGTATAACAACTATATGTTATTGTAGTCGGATATCGGAGTATAGGAAAAATGAGCAGATTTTCGGGGAGAAAGAATTCATTTAACCAAAAAAAAAAAGCAGGTTAAAGCGGTTCAAAATTAGTGAAAATAATGAAGAAATTCGCTGTAAAAAGAAGCTCGATGTTTGAATTACCTGTGATTCTTTGCTGAAACGAAATGAACTCGAACTTGCATAGTCTCAAGTAAATAATAACCCGGAAAAAAAATTAACATTGATTAATCGATTGATATTTTGCGCTTCCAATGGAATGGCAGAAGTACTTTAGAGAGTATGCTTTACCACGACCGCAAGTATTTTCGTGGCAAAACACATTCAGTGAAAGTTGTGCGGTCGTCGAAAACTTCTCAAGCAAGCTTATTAATGACGATGAAAGCAATAACGTCGGAAAAAATTAAGGATACAGTGCTTGATCTCAACTTATCTTATGAGCCTGAAAAGCCGTGAATCCTTTGTAAAGCTGACTTCGAGTAGAGATCGTAAGAAATGCTTGATAATGGAACTAGTTGAGGACCCTGCATTCACTAAAGGCACTACGAATCGTAAGTTTATGAATGCGATGTCGGAATTATTCAACAATCTAGCGAATGAAGCTCCAAAAACTAGCAAAAAGTAATAAACCCAAAACTCACAGAAAGCAATGAACCGAGGTCCTCCAACGGAGGCCTACAAGTTTGGGGAAAATATAATTAAGCATTGAAGTTCCCTCAAAGAGTCTACTTTAAAGGAGAGAAGAATGATTCGTATTAGAATACGATACATTTTTATTTTTTTTTTTTTGTTTTTTTGAATTCCGGGTTAATTTTGATCAGAATGTTTTGAGGAAAAATTTCTCAAATTAAAAAAAAAAAAAATTGCATTAATTGAATTACATATGAACAAAAAAACAAATCCGAGTCAAATTTGATCAGATTTATTTCAAGAAAATTTCCGTAAACAAAAAAAATTTCAATAGTTGAAATACGAGTAAACAAAAAAAACCAAAAAGGCGGGTCAAATTTGATCAGAACGTTTCACAGGAAATTTTCTCAAATTAAATAAAAATTTCAATAATTCAATTACATGTGCATAAAAAACAAGCGTCCCATTACAACCCGCCTGCGGACCATAAAATAAGCGATAAATAAATAAAAACACAAAAATTCCCTACACGCCCCCGGCTATTACAGCACTTATGCACACAATGTTACATAAAAATAAACACATTCTGTTTTCTGTTTTCGCAAATAAAATATTTTATGGCAGAATTTACAACAACATAACAACCTGTCAGACAATCGCAAATCAAATAGTATATGCAAATGTCATGCACAAAAATTATCTGATAATGAAAAAAGCAAATCAGCAAAGCAGAAATTGAACAAATATGCAAACTCATAGAACCATATGTAGTAGTAAATATATATACACATGCAGATGTATGTATGCAGGCAGGCGCATAATGGCAAAATAAACGCATTGCGATAAAAGTGAATCGCGCTTAACGGTAGCCGAAGAAATAAACAATGAAAGAAAGTGAAACATGTGTAGATGGGCAATTATATTAATAATTCAAAAATTCATACACACACATACATATGTATATATCTATGTGCAGGTGTTCGTGCGGATGTGTCTATTTGTAATTGCTGGAATGACGATTTACATAGCCGATGGCATTTAACGATTCCCAATAGCCATAACCATTTGTGGCATTTGCAACTACAAAACTTAAATATTTACGAAGGAACGTGTGTGTGTATACCGCTTGAACAGGTATTTACCAATGTTAATAATTAAAATACCAGTAATGCTCAACAATCGCTCTAACGTGAGCGTTAAATGGATGGAATTTATTCGTACGAAATAGTTATGATATTAAGTGAATGAATTTATACATACATACTATGTATGTAAATATAAAACATAATTGTAAATATACTATAGCAAAAAACAAATACACAAACAAATGTATATTATGTGGATACCTGAGACATAGAAATCTTGCGAGCATGGCAGATATTCGATATGGTATGCGAATACGTCATTAGGGCGGTCCTTTAAGGGGGAACTTCAAAAAAATCGATTTTTGTTTTTTGCTTAAATCTCTTTAAAAATAATCTTATAGTATATATGTCCCCAAAGTTTCAGATGGGAATTTGAAATATTTTCGAAGCTAGCAGGAAAATAGTGACTGAACGTCTAGCAGATATAATACATACATACATACATATATGAGCGATTGGGCAGAAAGCGAAAACTTTGACCGTTCCCACGACAGTCGGGTCTACGAAAACCGGAACGGACCCGGATTTTGATCCGGCCAAGGACTGTCAACTCGGCAGAATTCTGTCGTTACAACAACAACAACGCACGATATCTCGGTTTTTCATTTTTACGATTTTTCTTAATTGGCGAGCAGGAAAGAAAAATGTATTATCTTTTCCGTTAAATTATCTTCTATTTAAACTAAAAAAAAAACCTAAGAAAATTCAACATTTGAACATATTTTTGAACAATATAAAGTCAATTTTTTTTGGTCAAAAACCACTTTTTTTAATTTTTAAAAAATTTCTAAAATTTTTTACTTTTTTTGGAATTTTTTAGTTTAACTAAAAGATAAATTATTTAAAAAAAATATGAAATATGATAGAAATCAAAGTTATTATCCACAATTTTCTTTTTTTGAATATTTACTAATACACAGTGTCTACCAATAGGCTTGACGTGATTTCGGCAGCTCGTGGCGGCCATGTTTGTTTACGGATTTGTGTAAAATTTTGTTAGTGCGTTCAGTAAGGCTTTCTACTTCATCACGTCATGTTTCACTTTCATACAATATTTGAATTAAGTTTAAGATTACTACACTAATTCACGTCATCGAGTGGCTATTAAATTAGATTAGTCAAACGGTTCGGAGACATTTTCCTCACCGTCCCTTATCAAGCGACTCGTGCCAAAAAACCTAAATATTTTGCAAAAATAACGAGAGTTGATACAGCTGATGATCATACATTAGTCAAACGCATATTTACTTATGATGAATATGACGTCGAAACTATYTAACAATCTGACAAATGGCGCTGTAAAAATGCGCTGAAACTGAAACAATCTAAATTCTCTGAATGCCTTCCCAGCCGAGGCTTATAAGAAGTATACGGAAAATTGGTTCAACCTTGGAATATTTGTTCTGGCTCAAAATTTGAAGATTACAAGAGGCAATAACAGATTTTTTAATAAAATACGTGAAAAAGTAGTCATCAGTCCGATTCAAATTTGATCAGATGATAAATTTCGTTTCCGAAAATAAGCGATTTTCAATCAATGATGTTCTAAAAATATTTGTGAATTCAAATAAGCTTAATACTAAATAAGAGTATCCATTGAGTTTTTATGTAGGTAGGTTAGAACAAATATGTTTGTAAGTTCATATGTGTATAATGTTATATGAAATGGAATATGCTAAATTCAGATATGCTGAAAGCAGACTAAAAACATGCATGCAATCAGATTAAATACACACACACATGCTTCAACATATGGTACAATCTTTCAGCTAATTGCCTCATTTGCATTTAAAATCGTTTGCCATTTCCAAAAACATACAGTTACATATGTATGTATGTATTAAATATGGTGTGTATGTGTGTGTGTGAACAAGCGCTTACAAATGCTGTCAAATCCAGCCGAAAATGAAATGCATGTAAAACGCTTGAAATCCCTCCTGAAATATTATCTCTTTGCCACTTTCACATTCACGTAACATTTGTATGTGTGTATGCATGCTTGTTCGTGTCTGCACTTGTGGGAACAGACATAAACAAATATTACTTGCAAATATAATGAGCCAAAAATTAACTGTCATAAAAACGCATTGCAGCGCCGTTTTTGCATAACTTTTTAATAGTTTCCGCTCGTTGCAGTTTATTTTCGGTTTTGTTTTCCCTCTGGGCAGCTGATTGTAAATTTGATTGCCGCGCTTTGTTTTCATTCATAATAGGTGTTAAAATGTGCACATCCGCGCATGCACACCGGCGAACTTACATACATACATATATGCACGAGGGMGTATTATGCATTGTTTCAACACCAACAACAACAGTAATAAAAAAAAATCATAATAAAAACAAAAGTAAAGTTGTCTCTTCACTCACCGGTTTATGCAAATTTTTTCCAAATATTGTTTCGACGTGTGTTCAAACTAGACTCGCTAAGTGGGGTGTGTAGGTTGTGGCAGGTTTTCGGTCAATGACGGTCGAGTGTAAGTGCAACGAGTGCATAGATACATATGTATGAGTCATTGAACTTCGTGCCAGCTGAAACGAATAAAAAATGAATAAAATTGGAACAAGCGCATAATAAAAKTAAAAAATAATATATACATACATACATACATATGTATATATAGTACATACGAAAATTATGTTAAACTAGAAAAAATATTAACTTCGGTGCCACCGAAACTATCATACACTTCATAGATAGATTGCTTATAGCATATACATATACATACATACATATGTATACACAAGTATATAGAGTATGGAAGATTTTTATATTGTTGTTGTTATAACGGATTAGGATGGTAGGGATTAGCTACGAAGGCCCAAGAAACGTTCTGTTTCGATGGAGTCGAACCAAAGGGAGAGGGGTGTCAAATGAGGTGGATTGGTGGGGTAAGCATGTACGAATGATCCGATATCGGCAGTTTCGACAAGAGAGCAGTTTTTGAGAATAAAAGGACGGTTGCATAATTTACAGACAGACGGACTTGACTAAATCGGCCTTCGGTCCGTTCCCACGACAGTCGGGAGTAAGTCCGGGTAACCGGAATGGACGCTGATTTTTTATCCTGTCAATGAGTGTCAACTCGGCAGAATTCTTCCGCTACAACAACGAAATCGTCTCAGCTCGTCCCGCTGATCATTTACATATGTACATATATATTTAATAGCGTCTCGCACGTCTCCTACTGGTTGTTACAAATATCATATTAAACTTAAGATATCTTGTCCAGGGTATAATTATATAGCAAATAGATAAAATAAATAACCTCGGAAAAATTTACCAGTTGGTTGAAATAACTTCCACCTTTGTCTCAATTCTTTGTTGTTGCTGTAGCGAATATGTAGAATCTGCTTGTGAGAAAGTGGGATTTATTTGTCACGGAAGTCATCTAACGTGAGGTCCAACAGGAAACTAGCACTTTCTATAGGGTCCGACAATAGAGAGAATAGGTAAGAGTTTAGCTAAACGCAAAACATCGATGAAATCCTACTCCTTTGGCCAATTTGTGGATATGGTTTCAGTGGATTTAGTAAGGAAGAGCAGATGGCTTCAGTTGGTCTCGCCTTCGACACTAGTAGACCTTATAATAGCGAATACACATACGGAATTCAGATATGGATTTTGAGTTGGAAGCCATGAATTGGTGCAGGTTGTTGTTGTAGCGGTTACTAATCCTACTTAGGGCCGCTTCCAATGGCTGGTTAGCAGACATCTGCGAGTGATGTTCTAGTTAAAAAGGTTCCCCTTACCCAGAGAAAAGAAGACTCAGTGAAGTTAATAACAACTTCATAGGCAGATGACTTTGATGACTAGTGGTAATAATAGTGTCATCTTATCTTGCGATATCCAGAAAGTTAATCCGTAAGGCAATGCCAGAAAGGTGCCCTGCTATTATTACAATTTTAGACTTGAGTTTTAGAAAGTCACTTTTTTCTATAACTACATAATTTATTTTACAACTGAAACGTATCTTGTAAAATTATTTTAATAAATGTATAACTTAAAAAAAATTATAATAAATTTTGTTGGTTGGGTAACTAGTTAAAGCAATCTATCGTGAATTATTAAAAATCAGCTGTTTTTAAATCAGCTGATTAACTGTTTTTAAAGTTGAAAACTATCCAATTTCAAAACGTTGTTTAAAATTTATTTATTATAATTGTGCATTATTAGTTCTTAATCTCATTTTATGTCTCAAGTGACCAAAACAGAAGAATAAAAATTTTCTATCAACGTGTGCTGAAACGATTTATATACCGGTGAAGTTAATAAAAAAAAATAAACTGAAATGGACGGAGACAGCGCAGATGATTCGTTTGATAATGTGCTAGCAACCATTGAAATTCCCAGTGAACCTAAAATACCGAAAATAGAGAAAACACAAAACAACTCAAGTAACACCGCGGCAAATGGTGTAACGGCACAAATTAGTGCTGCCCCGCCAGTGCCGCTGCCAAAAACTGCCTCAAATCCACTTTGTATACTAGTAAATCCCAAACAACGTGGTAATCCAGTTCTTAAGTCAATCGTGAATGTTCCAATCGAGTTTCGAGATGATATCGTACCAGATTATGTGGTGGGACGCACTTCATGTATACTTTATATATCTCTAAAATATCACACATTAAATCCCGACTATATATGCCAAAGACTCAAAGAGTTGGGCAAGCAATATGAATTACGTGTACTCTTGGTTCATATCGATGCACCAGTAAGTTAATCACTTATGTAATTATTTGAACATAATATTGGATGGTAGTTGTTTAAAGGAACCGCATTCTGCTTTGAAAAACCTGACACGTATTACACTCTTGACGGATTTAACGCTTATGCTAGCTTGGAGTGCGGATGAAGCAGGTAAAATTATTGAGACTTACAAGCAATTCGAAAAACGTTCACCAGATTGGATAATGGAACGCGTTGAATCGAGCCCACATCAAAAGGTTACTTTGTACTTTCTCTTACTGATAGATTTGTTATAAATAATATCTATTTATAGCTCGTTTCTGCGCTAACTAACATTAAGCCTGTAAACAAAACCGACGCTGTAACGCTCCTACAGAATTTCGGTAAACTGGAAAACCTTATCAACGCTAGTGAAGAACGATTATCTCTTGTGATTGGTTTGGGTCCAAGAAAAGCTTCTAAGCTTTACAAAACTTTGCACGAACCATTTCTAACAAAGTAGTTTTCCTTTCAAGTACAAATGTACAAACGTTTATTTTTTTGTAAAATGAAATAAAGCGCAGTAAATAATGTTGAATGCTTACCTCTCTATTCTATGAACTTCCATCCTTTATTGTTCTATTGCATAGTTATATGGCACGGCGAATAATAATAATTGCGGACCAGAAATTGTGTGAAAATGCATTCCTCATCACCAGGTGGATAAGCTCGCTATATTTGTAAAAGGTTATCAACATCACACGATATAAAATGTTCACCGTCTGCATCTAAATCGATGCTCCACACTGTAATGGTATGTGATTCCAGTGTAGCAGTGCAATATCAATCACTGTCTGTTGCATTTTCAGAGTACAATTTTATTGTAGCATCATACGAAGCTGAACCAAAACTTATTTCTTTGGATGCCATACTCCTTGCTTCAAGACTGCCTGAATGGGACCGACTTACACTTTAATTTTCACTTTCATTGTCTTCCACAGCGGTGATGCACTGAAATTCACCTAAAAACAATAGATTTTAGAACAAACTTGTTGCTGAAATTTATTTACTAGCATACTTGACGTTTTAAATCATATTGTAGTGGTCCCATTGAAGCTAGCGTGTAGTTTTCGTGGTTCATTTGTTTCCAGATAACGGAAAAATGCCTATAGTTTTGTCCACGCTGCATGAGGCGAATGCATTAAATTTTCCCCAAAATTCTACCTTTGATACTTTGCAAAGTACGCTCCAAAGACAATTTGCTCATTTTTAAATTTTATAAATACAAATATTATCACAAATTCCCTTTTTGAACGTCTTAGCTGTAATAATTGTAATTTAAAATGGCAGATCACTCAAATGCGTATGCTTCTTCTTCCCTTGATTTTCTTATCAACTGTTATAATACCAGCAAATGGTAATTTACAGTTAACGGACTGTCTATTCAATAATGCACAGGTGAATTTTTGCACCCTACACAGGGTATTTTCATTTTACCACGAAGTTTGTAACACTCAAAGGGAAACGCCGGACACCCTATAAAATATATAAATATGTACATACATATATAAATGATCATGATTTAGTCATATCCGTTTGTCTATATAAATAAGAGCTAGTTCCTAGGTTTTTCAGATATCGATATTAAATTTTGCACTTCTTCTTTTCTCACCAAGAGCGGGACAGCCAATATCAAATCACTATAGCATAATGCTGCCATACAAAACTAAACAATCAGAATGAAATTCTTATAAGGAACATTTTGTATTTGCAATTGGCGGCATGTTGTTGTTGTTGTAACGGCAGAATTCTGCCGAGTTGACAGTCCTTGGCCGGATAAAAATCCGGGTCCGTTCCGGTTTTCGTAGACCCAACTGTCGTTGGAACGGGTTGTTGTTGTAACGGCAGAATTCTGCCGAGTTGACAGTCAATTGGCGGGCATCTTCCCAACCGGTGAAGTAGTTCTGCACAGCACTGCTCACATGGGTTGCCGAAGTCTGCATACAAACGATGCCCTTTGAATGAACCTGACAGGGATCTTTGTCTCAGTGAGCTAATGTTCGTAAGAACAAGATAAACAGCAACAAAATATAGAAAGCAACAAATGAATGAACGTGTCATAGGGGGATACCAGAGCTAGCTCCCCTCACAATTAAGAGCGGAGTGGACAGTATGCCACAATCAACAGCCGAAGCGAAGAAAGGCCGTGAGGGCTCATCGTAAGATGAGCAGGTAGAAAAACTCACTACGTGTTCGGCATATTAAAGGCTTAGGCTTAGGAGACGGATGCTGAGGGAATTACTCAACGTGGGAACACCTATTGGGGCCACAATTGAGAAATCTTCGCGTTAAAAAATGTTAACTCATTACAGCTGTGAAAGGCAGTGCAAAGGTACTAGACGACATGGATGCCTTCGATGACCAAAAATGGAAATCCGTGACTCTCAAGTCATATTAATACAGCAAGGAGATAATTAATGCCAAAACACATCGTCAAGAAGTTTTGAGAGGATATCTATACAACCCCAATGGCTTCAAGGCTACAAAAGGTCTTATCTTAAGGACCTGTCAAGACAATGCTGTCAGGGAGTAAGCTCTGCTGAATATCACCGATACAGAGGCACATTTCCTAATAAATGAATTTCTCTTCATTCAAGTACATATGTACATACATTTATTTTTTGTAAAATGTCATTAACGTTGAATTCTTACCTATCTATTCTATGAATTTCCATAATTTTATTGTACCATCGTCACTACAGGAAATCAACTGTCCTTCTTGTGAAGGATTCCATTTAACGGCATTCACATCTTGTAAGTGTGCCTTATCTTCTGATGTGATCATTGAAAACGTTGGCTCATTTTTCTGTGAGTTCGCATCTTCTTTAAATATTCGTATTGCATCATCGCCACACGCAGTGGCAATGAGACCAGTTCTCTTACACCACGAAACATCGTAAATAACTCTGGAATGCTCCCCAGATATTGTACAAACACATTTCCACACCGTCTCGTTATCTGGCGTGAAAATGCCTTCCTCATTACCAGGTGGATAAGCGCGCCATATTTTTAATGTCTTATCATCACTACATGATACCAAACGTTCACCGTCTGCATCGAAATCGATGCTCCACACTGTACTGGTATGTGATTCCAGTGTAGCAGTGCTGTACCAATCATTGTCTGCGGCGTTTTCAGCGTACATTTTTATTGTATTATCATATGAAGCTGAAGCCAAAATTTCTTTCTTTGGATGCCATACCACACGCTTCACATCTTGTGTATGGGAATTAAGCACAGCAGCACAGTCAAATTCGTCATCTCCGGCTAATTCCCAAATCCATACCGATTTGTCACGCGAGCATGTAGCTAATAGGTTACCTGAATGGGACCAACTTACACTTTTCACTTCATTTTCATGGCCTTCCAAGGTGGCGATGCACTCAAATTCACCTGAAAACAATAGATTTCAGAATATATGTACTTGTTGCTCAAGTTTGTTTACTAGCATACCCGAAGTTTTAGACCATATTGCAGTGGTCCCATCGAAGCTAGCGGATGTCAAATACTGGCCGCATGGTGACCAACTGATTTCACGAATTGTACGCTTATGTCCATCAGACAATATAGTTTTCGTGGTCCATGTGCTCCCAGATAATGACCAAATGCGTATAGTTTTGTCCTCGCCGCATGAGGCGAATGCATTACCTTTCGGGTGCCATGATACTCCCCAAATTCTACCTTTATGACCTTGTAAAGTATGTTCCAAAGCCAATTTGCTCATTTTAAAATTGTATAATTTCAAATATTATCACAAATTTTAATTTTAGAATATCTTAACTGTTTTGATTGTAGTTTATAATGGCAAATAGTTTTAGTGTGAATTCTTCTTCTTTGTGTACATTTTATTCACAGTTAAAAGAACAGCTGCTCCACAAACGGCAATTAACAGTAAATTCACTGTGTATACTGTAATGTGCAGGTGAAATATTTTCTTATCAGTGAATGAAAATGGAGTAAATTTGTTTTTATCAAATATTTCAGATAAAAAGTAGATTTTATCAACATGAACGGATTAATTGTGTTTAATAGCGCCAACGATGTTGTTTTTCAACAACTAAATACCGCGTTGGCTGAGCATTTCTTTGCAAAAAATTCCGATCTTTTTCCGGAGAATGCAACTGCAGCTTCGATAGATGGAAATATAATATTGCAGATTTTCAGTCCAATTATCAATTCCCAACGTATAATGCATTGCCAATTTGACAATACTTACTCAAGCTTTCAATGCGAGAAAGGACTGAATTTCGCTTTTGGTGAACTATTGGGATATACATTTGTTAAAATTGGACAACGTCCAGTAGAGATACTCAAACGTCATCTGGGCGTGGCAATTGCCTTGGCTCGTCATCTATATGGTGCAAATTTATTTGCTCCACAAGCGAGCAGCGTGCAGGAAGAATTGCTGTCAACTTGCTTAGAAAGCTATGAAGAACATTTGTGGGATGAGGAACAAACAATGTTGTTGGAAGCGCTACCACGCTTACTTGTCAATAATGAACTTAATCGCGTTGTTCACAGCGCCCTGGATGCTGCATTAGAAGGGCTAAAAGAAATGGGTTATCAACGCACACACGCCTTGGTCTTTGTCACAAATAAGTTTGTCGCATCGTCTGCATCGAAACAAGCGCTATCTTTGAGTCCAACTGACTTGGTATTTCTAACATTACTTTCACGTTCTTTACAACGTCAACACCGGCAACTTAATCGTTCTGTAGCAGTATTTTTACAAGGCGTTTCGCATGACCCGCTATCCGGTTGTATACCGTGTATCGCACACCTGTCTCAACTATCGAAAGGGGTATTGTTGATACAGGTGATCGAGTATGCCAATCTGCATGTAGCGAGCAGCATGTATGATACTTTCTTCGTGCTACAAAAAATCATAACTCTGCAAATACAAGGCGACGCCGACGCAATGAGACCCACATATGATAGTCTTGAATCCTTTGTTAAACAAACATTAGAAGCACTCAAGCGCTCCAAGTTGAAAGGTGATGAAGTGGACACCTCATTGAAGAAGTTCATCAGTAAATGGGATAACTTAAAGAAAATGTATGCAGATTTCTTTCGTTCAGTGGAAAGAGAGTTATTAGTGCGAATTGAGTCCAACATTCCATCATTTATGGATGAATTAAAGCAGCTTTTTACACTGACATGCTGTGACAGCTCCAGCATTGCTTTGGATCAGCTACCAGATGTGGCTGCACTAGTTGAAGGCAGGATTTTGGAAATTTCCGAATTTTTGGCCGTCAAAGCAGAGCGTAACATTACAATTGACGCTTATTTGGAAGACTTTCCTGGTAGAGTTATATACCGTTATTATTAGTAGTTCCGTTTTACAAATTATTGTAAACCTACTTACTTTTATACTTTTACAGGACTCATACATTTTGTCTACGTTAACCGTACCACAGGTCTGATGATTGCTCCCGATTTGCGTGCAAATCAACTTATTTCAAAGGCACGCCTATGGTCAATGGTTGCATTCACACGCAATTACTTGAAGAAAGGACACACCACCGTAATGTGGAAGGACAAAACTTTCAATTACTCGTATTTTCTCTGGTTCGAGGACCAATCGGGCGTGCCTATGAAATCAATCGATATGCAACAACACATGGTCACTTCGGCATTGTCCAGTAATGCTTTCAAATCACAATTCGAACCGGGTCTACTTGCCGCTGACTATTACCAACAGCTAGCTGAAGTTTGCTTTCCAAAGGTTACGCCTGGTAAAATAAAATGCTACGAACTGTTTTGTATTCACTTGGGATTAGTTACCTCAACTTGCGCTGTGGAGCATTCTAGACGTCTTGTGGCAACTATATCCGATTTGGCCGGTGAAAATAATTAATAGAACTTAAGATATTACACGTAATTCAGTTCACATTGGCACATTCCAAAGATACTCATTAGATATTTTTTTTTACAAAATTTGTTATTTGTAAGATTATTTTAACTTGAGCTTTAAACTTTAGTATTTAACATAAACAATTCCCGAACAAAAATTTTGTTCATTGTTTGAAAATGCATCAAACATATAATAAAATGCCTAAATTTACAAGCAAGTAACCTTAATTTACATTTGTAGCAATTACTTTCAACTAGTCTTTGACGTACTCGTTATTAAATCAATTATGACTATTTTATTTTTCGCTTCTTTGATGCGCCACCAACGACCTAGTCGGTGTTCCTGCCCCACAGCCGCAAAAAGTTTTGTGCCATTGCTATTAAACGCCAAGGCATTTATAAAGCCCGGCATTGGAATTTTTAAAATCTCTTTTAGTTTACGAGAATTGTCCAGTGACTGCCACAGACGTATATAACCGTCGCAGGAACCTAGAGTTTAAATTACATAAATGAAACAGTCGTAAAGAATTAATATAAAAAAAAATGTTTTCAATTTTGTTTTGAGAATAAAACGTACCTGAGGCTAATAAATCTGTGTTCACCACACAAGCTATCGCCGTTATCCAATTGGCGACACCATTACTTTGGGCACCGTGTGCTAGCGCTGCAGTGCATAATGATTTCTTTTTCAAAGCACTCCACATGCATATTGAACTGTAAATTTGATTATGATTAGTATTTTAATTGATAAAATTTTGATTTTATGTCATACCCATCTTCACCACCTGAGACGAAATTTTCATCGTTTATGAATTTCACGCATTCGATGCCATTCTGGTGACCATTATAAATCAATTGTGATTCTTCGGTTATTTTCCATATACGCAGTGTACAATCAATACCACCCGATGTGATAGCACGTTCCCGACTAAGCGCGTCGATACTTGTAATAGGCGCTTGGTGCCCAAATCTGCAAAAAATAATATAATCAATTACAAATTAAATTGAAATATTGGCGAGTTTCACTCACAAGCTCTCCACGTAAGCCATTTCATCGAGTGACCATATTTTTACAGATCTATCCTTCGAACCGGAATACAAATCATGCGTATCTTTTCTGAACACTAGCGATGTAACGACATCTCTATGCCCCTTAAAAGTCTTCAAGTGTTTCAGTTCTTTGGGACACCAAATTTGTATACTTCGGCCACCTTCAGCCAACGCTAAATATTTCATATCACTGGATAAACATATAGCAGTTACGTGCGAGCGTCGTCGGGTGTCACTTTCCACATCTTCGGTATGCGGTTGTACATTGAAAAAGCCTTCCAATTTGACTTGACCTTGTACGTGCCACTTTAAAACAAATTGTGTTTTGGCGCCGGTAAACACATATTTCCCATCGGGTGACACAACTAACGCACATATTGGCAGATGTTGTTTTTTATGCTTAAGCACAATTATATTCTCTGCATCGTAATCTTCAATAGACGCAGCTATATTTCGGCGCAACTTCCCCACACTATCCAAATATTCGGCTTGCAGGCGCTGCGAGACGTGATCGTGTATTTCGCGATCGTCTGCGCGTTCAGCTTCTTGTTTCTCTATTTCTTCTAAATATTGTTTTGCTAAACGAAGTCGTTTGTCTTGTGGTGTTTCCTCCTCAACTTCATCTGACGAGAAAACCAGATTTGTTGCATTACCTTCACCGTCCAAACCACTCTCGAATTCTTCATCACTGGCAATTTCTTCATCTTCTTTCTGTGGACGTTTACGTGCTGGTTGCGCTTTATAGGCGGACGCCTTTTTATTAGGTCCTGCTTTTTTACTACCTGTTGGAAGTGGTTCCTTCGCAAGCTAACAAGCGGCATGTTGATGGGAATGAAGAGTATTAGTTTGTATACATTATATATTAAAAATTAACGTTTACCTTTCGTTTTTTATTTGCCTTTGGCTCTTTTTTCAAGAAGAATGATGAGGACATATTGTTTTTAAATTATAATAGGTATTTATTTATATTTTATGCAGTTTTATTGAATAAAACTGATTTATTTGAATCGGCGTGCACTTTAACAATTGTGCCACACGTGAATTTCGGTTTGTTTTGACAGCAAAAGCAGCGACTGATGCAGCGCTAAGCTGTCAGAAGTGCTGTTAGTCATTCACAATAGTGCGAAGCTGGAGAATATAAAAACTGTTATACTGTACAAATTTTTACTGTTTGAAAGATTAGTTTTTAATATTGAGACACATACATAACTACTTATGTACATATGTATATATATCAATATGCATAAATATTTTTAAAATAATAATAATAATTACAGTAACAATAATAAACATCCGAATATAATAGTCTATATTTTAGAAAATCTTCATATACATACGTAAATTATGTTTAGGTGGTTAATATTTTGGAGTTTCTTCTTCATTATGATCGAAAGGAAAACAAATCATTACGTGTCTAAACTTAATCCGTTTTTGTTGTAGCGATTAGATAGGCTTTGTTTGGGAGAAAGGGCATAAATCAATTGTCAACAAAATCAATGGCCAGGGCCTGTTGTTTCCAGGATTTTACACTGTTTCGATCGATTAGTAAAAAACCACCTCATACTTTGCTGTTTTTGTTGTAACAATTATTTAATTCCTGTTTGGGAATAAGGTTTAAATTGGTTCTCATCGAAATCACCTAAATCCCAGTAGTCCGAATAGCTGAATAGGATCGATAATTTCTCTACCCCTCATATACCTAATAAAAATAGTTTCGAACATCCAATTATCTTTATAAAATTGAGAGAGCGTGTTGTGCTAACAACGCTCCATCTTTGTGTCTAAAATATATAATCTAGATTGAAAACTTGCCATGTACCCCATACAGCTTACAAATCTCGTAAACCTGAAGGTACTTCCCGGGTTTTGACCCCTGCAAGTTGCATGCGATTCGGTTACATCCGAACTTAGCTTATCCTTACTTGTTTATTTTTAGGTTTTATCTTTGGAGAAGGTCGAAATCATTGGATCATTGGAGTGGAGGTGGACTACAAAGACTAAATTTCATGAATATCGGTTGAGTAGTTCTCTAGAAATCCACCGACTTGCCAACGACTTCAAAGACATAGTTCCGAGAAAAACGCGTTTAAAGATGGCGCACTTAGTATCGCGAGTCTCGAACGCATAAGTTCTCAATTCTGTATCTCCGAAACTATTACTCGGGTCAACTTGAAAAATTAGGACAATATTCTAGAGGTTTTACAGAATTTGACAAGATAAAAATTTTTTTTTTTTCAAATACGTAAACCCATGTAACCACTAAGGCTGTCACACCAGGTGTGCCGCTTAATGCTACTTACCGATCTAAATGGCATTCTAGCATTAGATTGCTTGAAACTCTTTACATAAATATAAATAATAGAAATAATTRTAAAATAAGTAAAATAATAAAATGGAAAAAATACTAAAATAAATATAATAATAAAAATCATAATATTCTATAACATATTAATGAAAATAAAAAGATAATAATAAATAGTGATATAAAAAGTTTCATTAAGATTTCAAAAGGTATATTTTATTATTTAACAAATTGACAGTTATGGGATTTTAAAGTTGAACTCCATATTCTGCATAAGCTCTCCATTGACTTTGGTGGATGTGTTTCCAATATTTGCTGAGCTATATTCAATTCCTGTTTAAAACTGGGCAGCAATCGCATTTGTGTTAACTACATTCTGAAGTCAACCACACACACATATCTACGTGCATGTACATATATTCTAGACTTAATTCCACGCAAAAGCTTTATTTTGTCGTTTTTTTTTTTTTTTTGAATAATTTGCTTTCAGCTAATTCTTAACAAACTCGAACTGAATACATGCATACAAATATATATGTGTATATAATATATAAGATATACATATATACTTACTTATGTAGTTATATAATAATTAAATAATTAAGACCTAGATATAACGCTAGTACACTTAGAATGAGTATTGGTTTATAACGCTAAAAATAATTATATTATATAATTGGTCGTAGAGATACATTATATGCACATATAGCAACATTAATTATTAATTAATAATTACTTTTTGATAAAATCATATACAAGTACAAATAATGTAGAAAATATGGAAAACGTATATACCAGCGCTAGTGGCTAGGCAGTAGTGGCCTCCCCGATTCAGTCCTCCTCCTCTCATTTCCTAACCTACAAATCGTGCAGCTATTGTTGGAGGCGGTGGCTGCGCCTTAGACTGTGGCGTTGGCGTGGGCTCTGTCAAATCGGTGACTGTTGTCAAAATCGACTCATCCACCGAGGCGACGCGCGATGCACTGTTCGGTTGTGTGGCTTCATGCGCGCTGTGTGCGGCTGTGGTGGACGACGCTCTACTATGTGCTGGTGATGTAGTTGTCATAATGGTTTCGGCACCCGCAGTTTTTGTTGTAGTCGCGCCAGCTGTCGTTGCACATGCAGTCGTTTTGCGTGACGTCGTTATTGCGTCCCCCACGCTGGACACGCTTGGCTGGAATAGATGAAAGAGGCTGGAATGTTTTGCAAGGGGCGGGAAAATCAGGTGACCGACAGCGCGCAACGGCCCGAACATGTCGTGATGTCCATGTATCGTGTGTGGTTGCTGTTGTTGGCGCTCTGCCGCACGGCCATTTAATTTGTGATTAGCATTGTTACTATTTCTATTGTTATTATTATTGCTGTTATTGTTGTTGCTGTTCAACGGTAGCTGACTAGCCTCGCCATGCAGCGCTTGCTGCTGCGCTATGTTGCCATTGCTCGCGCTGGCGCTGTTATGTGGTATGTTTGTCTGCGTCGCGTCACTCGTTTCGGCGCCATTCGCCAGTTCTGTGGAGGGCGTGGTGGCAGATGACTCCCTGGTGCAAGAAATTGTTTGCCTGTGACTGTTCGTGCTTTTCACCACTACTGCCGTCTTGTTGGAGTTCTTGGTTAGACGCTGCGATTTTTTAAATTTACGCTTACGGCGCGGTGACAAAGGGCTCGTGTCATTTTCAATGACATAAACGCCAGAATTGCTGAGACCCGACTGACTGGATGCGGAACGCGAATACAAACCGCTATGCTCAACAGCTTTACCATTATTGTCGGCAGTGTTGCCTGGCGCTACTTTATAGGAGCTAAGCTCCTGTTGGGGCAGCCGATATTGGCGCAACGTGGTCAGCAATCGACCCTTTGCGGGTGGCGTATGACCAGCGCTTTGCTTTTGTACATCGTAGTCACTGTACGAGGAATCGGTGAGTGCGCGCTGATTGCTCAGCACTTGGCTCTGGTAGTCTGTGTCATCGGAGCGTAGTTTCTCGCGCATTGCACCTGCTATCATTTCGCGCTGCTCTGTATTATGTAAATGTCCATTTGGCCTGACGCTTGTCATGCTATTACTGTCGCTGCTGTTGCGGATATTTGGTAGGAAAACTTCATCTAGTTCGGACTCATCCGGACTGACGTCATAATTGCAATTGTTATATGAGTAATCAGGGGTATTGCAATGATCGAGCGAGGAGTGCCGTCGCTGCTGTTGTGATGCGGGTGTTGGTGGCGTATTCGAGCTTCTATCTAGCGGGAATTCGTAATTGACATTTTCCAGTTCGGCGCCGCTTGAAGCCTCCATTATATTCCACATATCACGTCCGATATCGGTGGGCACCGAAGCCACAGCAGCTACCGTTTGGTGTATGTTGTTCAAACAAGGCGTGATCACGCCACATTTAGGCCCCAACTGCGAGCTCTTGAGTGTCTGCTGTTGCTGACGCAACCAAATAGGTGAATCTGCAATTCGAAGGAAAAATTTTTACTACAAAAACAAAATGTATATATCACAGTTAGCAACCTATATAAATACGTGGCTGCAGTGAGTGTCGCATGCTGGCGTCGATGGAATGTAAGCGGTGCTGACTAGCCACCGAGAAGCGATGCATTGGATCCACCGGTTGTTCCACCTCAATACCCATTATTTTCAGTAACAAATTCTTCAGCGCCAAACGGAAGTCTTTCAAATGGTATGCATACAGCACCGGATTGCCTGCCGAGTTCAGGTGGGAGAGTATAATGCAGAATAGTGTCAGCTTCCCAGGCACCTGACACTGCGGACAGAATGCCTTAATGCAGTTGATGGTGTACAGCGGAAACCAGCAGATCATAAAGAAAAGTACGATGATGGAGAGATTCTGTGTGGCCTTGACATCACGTTTGCGTGATGCACCTAAAACACGCAACATCGTGCCACCATGACAAGCACGTCCCGCTTGAACTTGTGTATTCGAATTGCGTCGACTGCTGTCGCTCATCGGATTCATGGTGACTATTTGCCGCACCTGCAAATGTAAGGGTGGTTTTGAGCACCAATTACCAGATGTTCGAATACAGGTATTTTTCACATTTCTATTGGTACCCACCTGCTTGACAATGACGCGATAGATATGTGTGTAGAAGGCCAACATTAGCAGCGCCGGCGTAATTATGGTCGCAAAGTACAGGAACACCAAATAGTTGTAGTCCATTACTTTGACGAAATGGCAGGTCATATCCGCTTCATTTTCGGGCTTTACGTGCCAGCCAAATAACGGCAGGAAGCCCACAATTGTGCCAGCGACCCAACACAACGAGATGATGACTGTAAAGAAAGTGCAAAGCGTTGAAAAACAATTAGTCTATGAGTAATGAGAAAAAATGGGGAGGAAATCCTAACGCAGTGTTGTAATGAAAGCGATATTCTAATGCAAGAGACGCAATTACATGGCTACAATGGTTGAAGCCTTAAATGGGGTAATGGTGTGTGATTGTTTACACATTGCATTGCAACGTATAAATATACAAGGCTAGTTTTATTGGCTATAATAATAATTATAAGTATATTTATATTAAACCTAGAAACTGATTCTCTGATTCCCCTTCTCCTAGAGGTGATCTTGCAACTGATGTCCACAGCAATACCAAAAGATTCGTCAGAATCGGGAAGGAGCTCTCCGAGCCATTCGATACCAAACAAGGTTTCAGACAAGAGAACTCCCTATGGTGCGACTTCTTCAGTCAGCTGAAGAAAATAATACGAGCTGCAGAGCTGAATAGGCGTACGTCGATATCATTGTCCATAACAATCGAGCCTTTAGTTCTGCGTTCTCCAGAATGGACAAGGACAAAGACGAACTCTCTCCCGTCATCCAACAAACAATCGTTGCATTCGCGACTTGGCTCCCACATCACTGTTGATAGTCATAACTTCGTAGTATATGATACGAGTTTTTGATGGATGAAAACACCCCAGCCGTGAGATTATTCGACCCAGTACCCGCTGGGAGAAGCAGGGGAAGACCTCGACTTCGTTGGAAAGACCAGGTGGAAATAGATCTGGCTACTTGTAGTCTCCAATTGGAGCTAAACAGCAAAAAGAAAGAACGACTGGCACGCTGTTGAAAACTCGTCTAAAACCGCGTAAGTCGTGTCTCCGTCAATAAAGAAGAAGAAGAATTTCCATGGCATAAATCTAGTACATATGTATGCATGTATATACGAGGAGGTTTCTCATTGCTCGCTGATTCGCGATCGAAAGACCATTCTTATGAACTTTGTCTTGGTTAATCTTAGTCAAAGTTTTTCGCGACAAATCTATATTTTCGACCTTCCTGAGCTCAGAAAAATGTTTTCTCTATTAATATATAAATGGCATAGTGTCATTTTGTTATAAGACTAGTATGGTTGCCAGACTACAGGGGAAATGCAGGTACCAGCAAAGCTGATTGGCAGGAAAACGCATCTTAGCTGCGGTATCAGTAGAATCGGAAGGGGTCGGTGAGCCACTCTACTAATAACTTCTACTACCGAATTGCTGCACTTCGTGGGAGTCTGATTTCGCAAGATCCTTTTGGCCCAAGATCGATCATAAGACATCCAGTAAGACTAGTCTCTCCGTAGTTGTGGGGGTTCTAACAGTTCATTGACATATCGGGGTCACGCTGTAAGATTGAGAATCAGATGCCAGTTGCAGAAGGAAAAAAGGCGAGGTGGAAGCATATCAACACTATATTCTTGAAAGTCCCGCGTTTGCGAGATTAGAGTTCTGGATCAGCCATTGAACCTAATTTAACCTAGTAACTAAGCGATAGTTAGCCACTGCTGAAGGGTGTATCAGGTGCTCCTTCGTGAGAATTTCTAAAGTATCCATCCAAGCTGTAGAAAAATAATGACTAATATTGAGAAACTTTTTGATGTTATTTAGAACTCGAATCTAATTCAATTAGTTGGTTCCTCAAGCCACAACGTCATGATGGAGTCCTGAACCAATAATTCTCCTATAGCATTTGCCTATGTTCAATGTTATATATTTGTACTGTTAATCTGCGAAAGTAGAAGCGTTAAAGGGACTTCAGTTCAGAAAACTGGAAAGTGACAAAGTTTAGGGAAAAGTTATACGCCTTTCGACATTACTCCACAATCAATTAGTATTTATCAAACTACCCTCGTGCTAAGTCAATAAACGAAGCATTTATAATTGCCCATTTTCTGCCAGCTAATGGCCAACAGATCACGTGAGGCAACATTTCAATACGCACAAAAAAAAAAAATTATTAAATAACCACCCAGAAGATAGAAGCGCCTATTATGTCCACCCAACAAGTGTCAATTTCTTACGCAAAGCGAATGAATAAAAGTACAGTTAGTCTAATAGGCATGCAGGGCAGCGGAATTCGAACGAGCCCCTAAATTACAAGCCTGCAATACATCTTGTGTACATAAACACGCACATAAAGACAGAACTTGTCGGGACGAGCCCACTATTGCCTGCGCATTTAATCCACATAAATTTCTGCCAACTTACACGCTAATGATTGTATTCGCCCTGTCGCTGTGTGCGAGCACTGTGGCTTCACACCGCCCCGCTTGAATGGCTGCCTGAGCGAATGAATTAAGTAAATATGCGCGTCCGCCACTTCAATTGATTGCCGAGGCATTTCGCCGTGGCACATTGCATGTGTGAATCAACAATGCGAATACAATTCGACATTCAACTGCATATTAATGGGACAGGGTCCGTATGCTGTGAAGAGATTATTGCGCTTGACTTAATTGAAATAACTATTTTTAGTTGATTTGATTCATTCAATCGGCCAAAGCGGTCGAACTGGTGTCTGCCACTTGCCATCGCGCGATATGGAATTTACCAGAAAAGCAAGCTGTGCTGTTGCCGCTAGTTTGTATTCCCTATGGTGCATTGAGCGCTATTTAGAATATTAGAGGAGGAGTGTAGAACACTTCCATATTTATTACTACACACAAGATACTTGACATCGAAGCTGATATATCGATAATAAGGATTTTGTACGATATTAGTTATAAGTCCCTCTGATTTGGCGATTATATTTATGGACTTTGTCTTTTCAAAATATTCGTTCAAAATTACTTTGTAGCTGACAGTCAGTCCATCTTTTTCCGCTTTTGTTTGGGTTTATTACGTTTGGATTCCGGAGTAAGATGATGAATCCCTTCTTAAAGCTTTGCTGTTTTTTGATGATCACGCGCTCCGATATCTCAACAGTGTCAGATGTCTCGATCAACTTCATTTTACTTTCACCTTAAATTATTTTAGTTTATTTGGACTTCCCATGGGTGACCACATCGGTGATCAATGATCTGGACGGTCCAACGAACGCTTCAGACGGGAAGTACTAAATTTCCTTTGGTAATATTTTTGAAATTACAAATACTTTTGCCATTCTAATGCCACATGAGATCTTTAAATTGTAACGGGGTTTTCAATAGGCACGCTACAAATGTAGACCGATAGGGACAGCAAACGACGCCATATTTTATCTCGCTGTTTTGACATCTCTCTTCAGTAAGGTTTGCCATTTGAACAAAGAAAGATATACGATCCAACAGCGAGTCGAAATTATTAGAATTTATTACCTAGTCAGTGGCGTCAACTCTAGGAGCCCTTCATCAAATTTATGTACGTCATAATCATCTTAGCACTGAGACAAAGAAATGCCCGTAGTATCGAGAATATAGCGCATCAATTGAGGAAGACCCAAATTGGTCTCTCACACATCGTTCTCAAGCGTTGGGTACGTCTGAGACGGCGTTGTAGCAAATTTTGCGACAAGATGTTGGCCTACATCCCTACAAGATCAAATTGACGCAAGAACTGAAGCCGCTTGACCACCAGAATAGTCGTAAGTTCGTGAACTAGGCTGAGCAACAACATGAAAGTGATCAGGACTTTCATCGAATAATCATCTTCAGCGATGAGGCTTATTTCTTACTGAATTGCTTCCTCAATAAGCAAAATATGCGTTATTGGTCAGGCAGCAATCCACACGTACGCCATGAGTCACCATTGCATCCCGAAAAAAATACGATTTGGTGCAATTAATGGGACGTTGGCGTCATTGGGCTGTACTTCTTCCGTGATGATCGTTACTGTAAATGTGAATCGTTACCGCTCGAATATTTTCGACCAGAATTGAACGGGGACAATATGTGGTTCCACCAGGACGGCCACATATGGAATGTCACAAACGATCTAGTGAAAGCCAAGTTTAATGGCCTCGGTCCTGCGATTTGACGCCGTTAGACTATTTCCTTTGGGGCTACGTGAAGTCTATGGTCTTTGCTAACAAGCCAGCGTCGATTGATGAATTTCGTACTAATATCGAACGTGAAATTACAGCAGTATCGGCCGAATTATGCTTGAAACCTTCGAAAATTAGATTCAGGAATTTATTGATATCCCAAACTTAACCCTCCTGCTGTAATTTTGATTTGTAAAAGTTGTAGTAATATCCTTCAACCAACCGGGAGTGTCTTAAGACTTCACGGAAGTGGAGGGTGGGATAAGGTCAGTGGAAGAAGCTATTATAAAACGACTCTTTCGATCGTCCAATTTATAAGTAGACTTCTACTACTAATGAGAATTATTTTGAATCAAAATAGAAATTTGAATACTTTGAAACCAAGGCCTTCTATAGGCTTCAATTTCCTCGAAAATTTATTATTGCACCCAAACTAGTTTCATTGGAACTAGTTATCTCATGAGCAACATACCACATCTAGATGACGGTAATAAAATACTCTCTTACCTCTTGACCAGTCAATAGTACTAACTTTCAACTCTGTCTGTCGTTTGGCCTCCATTTTGTATGTGTCTTTGCACTGAACTGAACCGAAGACAATTGCAATTCGCTAAAGATAAATGAAATGCGTCACGTTTATTTGACGTCGTGAACTCAAGCATTACAAGTACTATATCTATGTGTATATATATGTATGTACATGTGTTGAGGATAATGCTGACGCGCTGAAGAACATGCTCTCGTGTGTTTGGTTTCGAAATAGCGTGGCAAGGAAAGCGTGATAAATGAATGTTTTTCGCGCGCGTTAAGTCACGCACTCACACGCATTCGAATTGCTCTTTAATTAAGTAAACAAATACCGTTGTTTATTTGTGTGGGAATGCCAAATGCTGTGGATTCGCACAGCAACTTCCCTACATTACTTAGGGGACACATAATTGGTAGAAATTGCTGCTCGAAATTCGTTGTTAATTAGCTAAATGGTCATTGTCGCTAAAAATAAAGTCACTAGAGGTGCGTGAATCCTTTTAATGGAACGGATATTTGGGAATAATTTTGGTGAATTTATTTGCTTTTGCTTCGTTTGCAAAGTAAGTTTGCGAAGGTCATTTGCTGTTTACATTCAACCTTGAAACGAATTGCCTTGCACTTCTCAAAGCTTTTATCAAATTAATTTTACAGTTATAACTTAACAGAAACTGGTGCCTTGCTGGAACATTTTTTTAAAGAATTTTTCGAGAAGATAGTTTGAAGAGTTCGAAAACACTGAATTTTTGTAGAATTTATCTTATGATTTCATAATATGAAAAAGTTTGATTAGTCAGGTTTGCTCAAAAGGAGAAGGTAATCGTATTTGGACCATTAATCATTATACGCGAAGACTCATAACCCGGGATCCATTTTATGTCGATACGAATTTTTGCCTTGTGCTAGTGCATGCATGTTTACATATAGTGAATAGTTCTGAAATCCTCCAAAATAAGTCATAAAAGGTGAACCTTAATAAGGGCGAAGACCTCACTGGAACTTTTTCGGCTTACCTCGAGTTACCACGATCCTGTGACTGCACAAGTTTAACAGTTGCCCATCACTTATCATTGGAATCGGACAACAGAAGACTTTGAAAAGTCGAAAAACTTCTAATCCAAGTCAGGATAAAGGGTCTTGAAAACAAAACAAATTTTCTTAGGGGTGTCATTTCTACTCCTTTCAGTTCAGTTATATGTCTGAAAGTGTCAGATCACGACTTTTTAGTCTTTATCTAGTAAATTCGATAAGAATTAGTCTTGAAGAGAACCAAAAGCTCACCTGATATCTGGTGATTTACCTCGTCCTAGAAGCATTTTGATTGCAAACGTGCCAATAATTGACTAGGAGTTTCCAAGATCACATGCAAACTCTATCAGTGCCGCAATTTGTTGCATGGCCTGACACCCAAATCAGTCTGATAATCCACTAACTTGAGCACAAGGACCGTGTGGTCAATGTTAGTATCACTGTCATGATATGAAAGTGAATAATAAATCCTTTCCAAGGTAGCGTAGCTGTAGTTGTTTTACATTTGCTTCAAAGACTTTTCAAGGAAGTCACATGGGGTCAAACTTGGAGATATATTGGAGGACCTGAGAACTTTTTTGGATACATTTTTTATTAAAAGAAGAATCTATCAAACTTCAGGCAAACGGCTTATTTTAATTTTTGTATTGAGGTTTCATGAGCCCAGATATTTATCCCGCGAAGGACTGTTAACTTGATAGCATTCCTCAAACTATTTGTTGGTAAGAGAATGAATGAGTTTTTCTAGAGTCCTAGCCTGAAACAATGGAACTTTCAAGACTAATGTGTCTTGTTGCATTTTAGGGTGTGCTAAGGCTGCTCAAAGAGTGTGCACCCAATTTGAAGCTACTCTTCATCAGGCTCGTTTGGGTGCCTACCGACGAGCTATCCAAAAGGAGCATTTAATGCTATCCACATTGTAATGGGAACAACTTGGATCTCCATTGGCCTCGCGTGAGCTTAGCAGGCTCTGGTTGTCGACTAGTTCCTGTATTATCCTTTTCGCCTAGAGTAGAACGCAAGAGATCTTCAGCATTACTTGCCCTTAGCTAAGTTCATCTTGCTGCAAAACTTAGTAGTAGAATTTTTCACTGAATAATAATGTCCTAAATATAATGTACGAAATCATGAGGTAAAAGCCTGGACTGTCAATTTGTCAGGGTTTTATGATCTATTAAATAGGAGTTTCAGTTAGCACAATGGACACAAGGTCTAATGCTATCCACGTGAGGTCCCTGCAAGAATCGACATCTTAACCTAATCTAATCGACATTTTGGGGAGTGGAAAATAATCAGATTGTTTGCCAAAACCACTGAGATGCTGGATAAGGCTTAATTTGGTTACCACTCGGGAGCACAATGGGACTAATGATGGGCTAACCTTACATTTTAAAATTATAATGTATAAAATAAATAATAATTTGCATTACTTACTAATTGCAGTGCGCGTGCGTACATTCCTCGAATATGCCATCGGATAGAGTATGGCCCAATAACGATCCACTGACACAGCCACCAAGCAGAATATCGAAATCGTGCACAATACAACCAACAGCGAGACGGTGAAGAGGCAAGTATACAGGTCTTTTGGCAAACCAATCGAAGCCAATATGGCAAACGGTACACCCAACGAGCCAACGAGAAAATCCGCCATAGCCAATGAAACAATATAATAATTGGTGCGTCGTCGTAGTTTACGGTCGCGTTGGAACACAACAATCACCATGAAATTTCCGACAATGGCGAAAATGGCAACCAAAATCTCAAAAACCATATACGGTACATTCAAGTCATCGGACATCTCATTGTCATAGGCAGGTGTGCTCTTCGTTGAAAGCGCGAACGGCAAGGTGAAGAGAGACGAATCATTGCTAATGTATTGGAAATCGGCCAACGAAAAGAAACGAAACTCGGACATGTTTGTGGTTTAGTGCGCGAGGGCGAACGGTCCTTGTAGTGGAATGTTTGTGCTTGTGTTGGAGAATACTTTTGTTGGTAGTTGGAATTTTTTTGGTTTTATTATTTAAATTTTTTACTG